TAAAGTGCAAAGATGAAGGAATGTATCAGATATGGTCCCACTGTGCCTTAAATGCACCAGTGCATGGTACAATAAAGTAAGGAATCTTCACTGTGGTCTACAGAATGCACTGTGGGTTGTCAAGGGGAGAAGCTGCAATACATGAGTTGTTTCAGGGTCAGAGCAAGCAAAGGGGCAGCTGCTGGAAAGATGGCAAGGGAGTATCCACCATCAATATGGCATTTGGCTTTCCCTGGACACATGTACAGGTCTGTTTGGTCATCTCCCTCACTTTCACAAGGAATATTTTAGAGTTTATTCATCCTGATTCGTATTTATGCCTCTCCTTCCCACATTGCCACAGATGAGAGTTCTTCTCAGCTACCAATTTAGCCATGAACTATGTAACTGGAATATAGATTATAGAATACAGAATATAGATTCCATACAAAATTATCATCCAAACAAAGTATGTATTTGGTAATGTATCTTGAACACTAAAAGTCAGAAAGAAAATACAACAAATTATAGGCATTCGACCTTCTCTAGGTAAATTTAAAACCACTACCAGCTAATCACTGGACTGTGCCAACCCCAAATGATAATACTAGTCAACCCAGTGTCTTTTTAATTTCTGAGTACAGGATGGTCTTTAAAATAGCCTAGTATCTTTACTAAATGATTTTCTAAGTAGGGGTCTTTTCCTTTGGCCATGTTCACTTTGTTGGTAACAAGAGACTTCTATTCTACTTCCTGAGGCTGCTGAATGATTCAATTCAACCCAAAGAGTTTTATGTTTTATATCTTATTTAATCTATGCACTACATGACATAATAGGCATTTTAGGAGACATGAAAGGTCTTTGGCAGCTATTTTAATCCTTTAGTGATCCATTATCTAGTAAAGACCATAAAAACATCAATTAAGATATATTATCAAAAGCAATAGGTTGTCAAAGACACATATAATGTGCTGTGCAACACAGAATGGGTATCAAATTGCTATGCTATTTTTCCTTACTGTAATTTGACAAGGAGCTGTGCCAAAGCTGACATCTGGATTTATTTTCAGTAGCAACTCATACTTAAATGAAAGAAACAAAAGTAAATAAAATAAAATAAGTTGTTCCCAATGCTGTCAAAAAACTATTCTAAGTACTCTTATTTGAGAATAGTTCTGCATTAGTTATATGGAAAATATCAGAATGACAGAAGAAAATTTGTGAGCCTTTTTAATTTTAATCTAATTATTTTAACTCTATCTAGTCACAGAAGTCAAGTCCTTTTCCATCAATAGCAAGTATCTGTTGCTTTTAGAGGGTGGTAGTTCTTAAATTTTATTTTATTGTTGATATTATAATAGAATTACATAATTCTCCCTTTCCTTCCCTCCCTTTGAACTCTCTAATTTATCCTTTCTTGCTGTTTTTAAAATCTATGGTCTCCTTTTTCATTAATTGTTGTTACATAAACTCAATGATACCATCGCCAGTGCTAGACTTGAAGCACATACTAGAGGGTCACTGCCAAGGCAGTCCACAGCTCTGAAAAGCAATAACAAGATGGCTATCTGGGCACCGAGAAAGAATGAGAAAATGTGTGGAAAGTTGCACTGGAACTGGCAACCATTGTGTTTAATGTTCAGCTGGTCTGTGTAGGACCCTGATACAGAGTGCTAAAATTAGTAAGGATGTTACTGATGTTCTAGCTTGTCCCTTCTCTTTACAAAGAGGAGGAAGAAACTCCAAAGAGTAAAAACATTGCTAAGGGCTATCAAGTAATCCATGCAGAAACCTCACCCAGCTTTCTTAGTCACCTGAGTCCATTACTTCACCCAGTTCTCTCCAAGGAGTACCTTAAGGACTAAAAACTTTTCAGGTTGAATTTTTACCACATAAATATGGTAATATCACCAAATGATAATATAAATTTTGATTTATAATTTATGAAACAATTCAATTTTGATGTTCATTGTACAGAAAAGTAAATATTAAAAAGCATTAAACTGGTACTGATAGTAATTTCTATTTAGATAGTTATCATTTGAAATTTGAAAGTACAAATTGATATATTTCCCTATTCAAGACTGAGAGCCAAAATAAACTGTAAGCTAATTAAAACATGTTTCCTCCAAGAAGTATGTGTGTGTGTGTGTGTGTGTGTGTAGCTAATTTATCACTCTAGATCAGGATAATTATGCAGAAGAACACTGTAGAAGACAAGGCTGCTGCTTCATCCTTATCCTTATAATTATTACTTGGCTTAATTTCCTGAAGTTTTAGAAGAGGCACTAATTTCCTTTATTTTGTTCAGAATATAAATGAGATTGTCATTTGCTTATGTTTGATTATGATTAAAACTAATAACTACTTAAGTATAAGTATATAATATAGCTTTGATCAAATCACTCATCATCACTGATAAGACAAATTTTGTAATATGATATATTTATCCATAATTCTGTTTGGTTCAAACAGGAAATGTCTACTTTGAATATCTTTAAAAGTACTCATATTGTTTTATAAAACAGACCAGTCCTGTTTCATCATTCACAGACTTACAATTTAAGGAATGGTCACTGATAAGATATTTGCCTTAAATATAAAAGTAAACCAACAAAATATGAAGTGAAGAGTAAGAAGTTTTATACTGGAAGCTTTATATCATCCATTAGGTGTGGGAAATATAAAAAATTATGATGTATAAACAGAAAACCTATTGTGAGTTAGTGCCAGACCCATAAAAGAAAAATTTAACAGTCCCAAGTCATGAGAAGTGAAAGTATTTATTCGTGAGATCAGAATAGAAAGAGAACTTTATTGAGTTCACTATAGGGAAACAGTAGGCAGAACAGCAGTAGAACTGTACGCAATGCACCAGTGGACTATGGTTCCTTTTCTGGAGGAAAAAAACCTTGCTTTGTGTTCTGCTCTACTATAAAAGACTATCATGGCACTTCCGAATGCTTGATGTTTGACTGGTTAGGACCTGGGGTTAGGACATCTCTTTGACATGACAACATGGTTGATTTTGATTAATTGATTGATTGATTCAAATGATAGGATGAGGCCTTCAAGAGACTGTTTGACATGCTGTAGTACCCCCAAAGTTGTTTATGCCCCCACATTCCTCCATGACAAAACAACAATGGCCAACCTTAGACATTGGAACAAAGATCTCTTCTTCTAGAAGTTCTCATATTCAATGGGGTAATATCAATGTCCCCACCTACCATTGCTAACCTGCCATGGGACATCAGGGAACAATGAAGGAAGAGAAGTTGATTAAAATTCACTAGCATAAACACCTGGCAGCCTGTCCTAAAGGTCCTATGGGTCATGACCTGTTTCATAGTATTGTCTGGATGCATGTTGAAGCAGCATCTGGACTGGAAATATTGGGTCCTGAATAACAAACTTGACAAGTAAGTTACAATCCAGGGGTTACTCAGGAGTGCCAGTCTCAAAACCAGCCATTTTTGTGAAAGTGTTTCTTTCTTTATTCTCCCCTCCCAATCTCTTATTCTCTCTCTCCTTCCTACCTCTTATCTATCTCTATCTCTGTATCTATGTTTATCTCTCTCAAATTCCATCAGTCTGGATTCAGTCTTGTTACCATGTCCTGAACTGCCCCCAGCTTGCTTGTAGATATAGCACATCTCCTCTAGAAACAGTCAGCAGTTGGTAAATCATGACCATGTTGGTTTGGGAGGGATACAGACACTAATTGATCAATTTGATCCTGTACGACCTCAAAAGCATCTGAGATGGAGTCACAACATACCACTAGTGCAACAGAAAGGTGATGATAGGCACAGGATGCACAAACAAGACCAGCTGTCCCTATACAAAGTCCCACACTTTTTTCACCCACCTTACAAATAAAATAATTAATTGAATCACTTGTTTTGGTTAGCTGAGTAAAAGAGAGGAATTATGACCAATTGATTGGCAGAAACAACTTAGATGTCTGGTGTAATATAAGTTGGGGTGCCGGTGTCAATTCATTTGACAAGAAGGTAAAATTTTGCATTGGTCCACAGAAAAACAAAAAAACCTTCAGAGTTGGGCAGGTGTTAAATTCAAGCAGAAAAGCTGACTGGGGGGCCAAAGGATTTTTATGTGGTTTCAAAAGTAAATGAAAGACATAATAATAAGCTAGTGTTGCCCTGGTAAAGGGCTGCATAGGCTATGTCTGTGGGACAGCCAATAATGGGTTGTGTTTTCACAGAAAGAGAGAATTGACTGAGAATTGATTGGGATCTAAATGTGCTCAGTATTACAGATCCTCAACAGCGTGCTTTGTAAGCAATTGTTCAAGGACTTGGAAGTTTTACTGTCTTACCATTGTGATATGACCAGGTAGAATTTCAGTGGAGATGGGAATTTTTTTTCAGCTGTCCCTCACCTTGAGGTAAGCAGGACATAATACTTTGAGGTTGTCCTGGAATTGACTATTGTTAACTTATATATTCATAGGACCAGCAGCTGTACAGAGGGTATTAGGAAGACTATCTAGAATAGAGAAATTTTCTCTGTCCTCTACCTTAATACATTTTAAAGCTTGAAGGTCAAGCTTAACATGGGAAAGAATTGGGTCACAAAGGGATATGTGGCTGAGAGATAATGTTGAACAGTCATATTTTAAAAGTTATTAGGTTATTTGATTGGACTCCTAAGGCCATTTTATTTGATCAGAATTAAAGAATCTATTTTAGTAAGGGTATGAGTTTGTGATAAGTCATATCCATTTAAAGGGTGCAGCTGTGTATTCCTATCCCTGTCAGTTGGGAGGCAGAGATAGACAACACCAGTAACCACTTGCTTAAGAAAACCATTAGATTTTTTTTAGGAGTTTATGAGATACCTTGAGTAACAAGATGTCAGAGAAGTTTAGGGGCGTTGTAAAGCCTAGATAGAGTTAGCCCAAGGAGCAAAATGATTATTAGAAGTAACTTAGAAACACAGGAAAGAAGTCAGACGATTAGCACTAGTAGAAAAAATGATCACACAGACACCAGGATTAAGATCCACTTTTATTTGAGAGACATAATAGTATATTTTTACGGAAGTTCCAGAAACTGCATTACCTCATCCCAAGTGAAATCCATGAGATCACCTTGGAGAAAGAGATCAAGAACAAAATCTGTAAGTTGGGTACTGGTGATCTCTTGGGTGTTAGAAGGAAAATATGCGGGAAGATTTCGGAGGATAATATCAAAAAAGTGGTGAGCATGATGGATGGGGCTTGAAGTCGGGTTCATGAGTTTATGAGTGTTGGTAACTGGTATTCGTAACGCCTGGAGTCTTCTGGAACAATAAATGCAGGTCACAGGCAGGCTCAAGACTGGTGTAGGCTGTTGAATCTTCAGCTGGCAGAGAAGAGATGAATGCAGAAAGTGGGAAATCTCTGAACTGTCACTGAAGGGAATCAGAGAACTTGGTGGAAGTTGGTTCAGATGGTCTTCGGAAGCCTCTCATCCTGTGGAAGAACCTTGAGATATTACTTAATCCCCCAATCTCAGCTGTTAAGGAGAGTTTTTCCTGTAGTGAGGAGGAATCTGGTTAAGGATTGCCCTCGGTGTCTACTTGATCATGTTCCTGAAAGTATTGTCTTAGTTCAATTCACTACACAATATCACTTCCAACCATTGTCCTGCTCATTGGGATAGGCCTCACTTTTGGCACTAACGGCCTTGATGGTTAGTCCCAGAGATGTCACACACAGCACAAGCTAATGCTCTTCACAGTTCAATAAAAGGTCTGTCTCAAGAAATGTCCTTTCATATAGGACTCTAAAAAGACTGAGCTATGCTTATTTAGGGATGAATATATGACCTGAGAAATGCCACTGTGAGAAGTGTTGTCCAGGACCATTGGGTAGGGTAAGGAGCTCTTTAATATTCGGTATCTCAAAAAGGACATGAAACCCTGAATATGAGGGACCTCTAACCACTTAGAAAGGGTTTTTACAGAACACACCAAGCTGTGAAGTAGTATTCAGTTGAGAGTACTATTCATGGGCCATACATAGATCTTGGTCTGAGAGCTTGCTTTGTGCTTTAATCACATAACAGAAGAACATGAGGCATTTCATGTCAGACATTGTAAGTGTCTGCAAGGGATCTCTTGGTCCGAGGACCAACAGTGGGAGGTAAGAAGGCTAGACACAGAGACTAGGTTTTCCAAGGAGAAACTCACCAATCTTGTGTCCTCGGATGGCAAACTTGGTCTCCGGAGGGCTAGCAAGAAGAGAAAGGGAAAGTGAGTGCAGAATATAGAAAAACATCCACTGTAACAGATGCAAATTCACCCAAGACAATGTGCCACTGCCTGCTGGGTTACATTTGGGGAACTGGGATTGAAATGAGAAACAAAAACATTCCTTTCTCCCCCGTGTGTGCTAGGTAGTCAGGCCACTTTGACCTAGCCATTCTTATCTCACTAAAGAGTTGTCATATTTTTGTCAGAAATTCTCAGTGTCCAGGGAAGGAAAGTGCTTCTGCAAACAGGTCTGTAACTGAAGGTCTGCCTTTATGTTTGGAGCTATCTCATGGTCCCAAGAAAGACATTAAAAACTGAAATGACTTTGTTAACAATATGAACCCAGTAGCCAGTTATTGTAGCAATACACCCAATAGTTTAAGATTCATAATCTTTTAATGAGCTTATAAAATATACATGATCAGATGATAGATTATAAAATAAATATCTTTCAAATATTCTTAAAAGTTGAAATTTTTATACTCCCTTACCAAAGAGAAGCAAAATGCAAATTATCAAAATATAAATATGTCTAGGAAATCTCCCTATGTATCTAGACTTCATATTAAATAATTCATGGACCAATGAAGAAATCATATGCACACAAAAATTAGAAAACAATTTGGGCCAATAAAAATATAATACATCATGTTTTGGAGTGGAATTAAAGTAAAACATAGAAATTTTAGTTAAAATAAAAGTTAAAAATAGTCTTATATAGATAAAAAACATTTTAAATTGATGGTCTTTTCTTCATTAGAAGGGAGGGTAGCCAATTATACTCAGAGCAATGGGAGAGAAGAGAATAGTAAATATGAAAACAGAAAGCAATGCTTTGAAAATAGAGGACTCAAATGTGGCTCAGTACTCAGATATATGCCTAGCCTGCTTGAAGCCCTGGGCTGATGCCCACTACTGAATGGGCTAAGGGCAAAGTTGCACAAGTGTAATCCCAATGCTTGGAAGGTAGAGACAGAAGATGTTCCTCAAGGTTATCTTTGGCTACACAGCAAGTTGGAAGCCAACTTGAACTTGCTCTCAAAAGACCAAAACATGACAAATAAAAAGAAATGTTCAGTGCAAATGTATCATTTGCACACAGATCAAACTGTGCCTGCACTTGAGAGGTTGCTTTCACTTGGATGGTGATCTCACTCTGCTATCGATACAAACAAAGGTAAAATGAGTTGCAAAGATGGTCTGGTCAAACTTGTGGCCACCATATCAGTTGCTTTCTTAAACTGGTGGGCCTGGTGGCTTTGTGTCTTTCTGATTGCTTGTTGCATGAAGGGCAGCAGCTTGCCTCTTTTCTGACAGTTCTCTGACTCAGGATTTGGACTTTTGAGCTAATGAGCTTTAGATGAGCTCCTGGGCTTAAGCCAGTTTTATAACAGGGTGGAAGTCTTGGAACCCTTGGGCGAGAGAAGAGAATGAGTAGTGCTTTGGCAAGGTCTTGAATCTTTAAGGACCAGATGGCATCCTGTGGCAGGCCAAATTGCAAGCTAGACTCAAGAATCTTGACCACTCTGAGACCTGTTCTGCATAATGCCTGGAATTTCGAATATGACAGCTTTTACCCCAGTGGCTAGGCGAGATTGTAGGTAGAGTTATTCTTAAAGCAGAAGCCTATTTAGATGAACCTGATCAAACCACATGTATGCTTGTTTAAAAGGAGAGAATGTCCCTTACTGAGTAAAGAAGCAGTCAGAGTTTCCAAAGCAGGGTCTGATAGGCGCTGGTGGCCTGGTGACTGTGTGGAGCATTTGAAAAGGAATGAAGCCGGCCTCTAATTGCTGAGAGCGGCCCCATACTGACAACCACCACGGAAATGAGGAACTTAGCACTCCAAACATAAGAGAATACATTCTGCCCAGACCCTGAAGTATTCGGAGACTGATTTTTCTCTTGAGTCTGTAGTCAAAAATGTAATTTCACTGAAACTGGACCTTGACCAGGGAACCCAGAGAATTCAGCCATGCCATAATAAATTTAGATCCCACAAAACTCTGCAATATTTATTGATCAACATAATTGGTGAAACTTAGTGAATATTCTGATAGAAAATTAATATAGAGCCCTAAAGTATTAACAAATCAACTTTTTTAAAAGTTGATTTGTTAATACTTTAGGGCTCTATATTATTGCCATATATAAACTGTGAATGTAGAAGGAATTACTGGCTCAACTCAAGTTCACATCCAGCCCAGGAACAACCCACGGAGCTTCAGTAGTCTTGCAAGGTGTCTGAGGAATTAAACCAATTTATCATGGAGCCCTACTTTTCTACTTTTCTTTGGTTATTAGTTCCTCACTTTACTTCCTGGGAAGAGTCCACTTTTCATTCTGCTCTTTAAAAAGTAAAAAGAATAATACATTGCCAATAAATAACATAATATTATGCCATGGCCAAGAGAAATTCAGCTGGCATATGCTCAGTTTGCATTAGAAAAGGAAAAATTAACATAATTTTTCACATTAACAGACTAAAGAAAGTCTCAACACTGAGAAGGAAAAGTAAACACTAAGTCCCACACTGAAGAAGAAGAAGCTTTTGCAATTGATTGCTCCTGGGAAGGGGAAAATTAGTTTTCCCCAATGGCCTCTCACCGGGTCTATCAACCACACCCTGGGGCAGGTTCCATGCCCAGGAGAAGTTGGCCAACACAAAATGGACTCCATATTTATGTGTGTTTTGCTTTGTTTGTGTGGGGTTTTTTTCTTGCTAGTTTTTTTGTTTGTTTGTTTTGTATTGTTTTGTTTTTGACAGAGAGAGAAATGATATGTGGGTATGGAGGTGAGGACGATATGGGAGGAGTTGGGGGAGGGGAAGAGATGTGATCAAAACACACTGTCTGAAAAACATGAAACAAAGAAGAAAAGCTATCAGATCATTCCAATTAAAGTTTTAAAATAACAAAATTTAACATTCACTTGTGATCCTATCACAAACCTGTGGAAGAGCAAAAAATAGAAGGGCATTTCTTATTGTGAACATGTACACAAACATGTACACAAACCTAAAGTCAGTGTCATGCTTAACAGCAAATACTAGAGAGAATATTAGCCCACTAAAGTGGAGAACCAGACAAGCCTAAGCTCTGACTAAATATTCCACTGCAATAGGCAAATAAAAATAGATGAAAGGAATGTAGCTAACAAATAGAAGACTATTCCTATCTAATTGTAGACATCATTGTTTATATAGAAAATCCTTTAAAAAATCTAATTAAAAGGTAATTGGAACTAAATACCGAGTTTAACATAGTTGTAGAATATAAGTGCAGTCAGTCTGATCATAATTTTATGAGGAATAGATTTGTAAGGTTGGATCCATATCTAAGAATTGATCAAACTAAGACATAGTTGAACCTGTCATGCCAACTGTCTTCAAGATCAATACTGATCTCTACATTATTGCCATATATAAACTGTGAATGTAGAAGGAATTACTGGCTCAACTCAAGTTCACATCCAGCCCAGGAACAACCCACGGAGCTTCAGTGGTCTTGCAAGGTGTCTGAGGAATTAAACCAATTTATCATGGAGCCCTACTTTTCTACTTTTCTTTGGTTATTAGTTCCTCACTTTACTTCCTGGGAAGAGTCCACTTTTCATTCTGCTCCTTTGAAGCTCATGAATAATGTTATTTCTGAAGTTTTCCTATATCCAGTTTCCAAAGGCAAAACTTACAGAGGTGGCAGAGCTTATCTATGATGAGTTAACAGCAAGAATGTAAAAATCCAGAGAAGGAAAATTGGTGGACTCAAACAGTCACATGAGAAGAAACAATAGCGTAACAGGAAATCCTGTGACGAAAATCATATTCTAATCTATTATGCATCCACTGACATTTGAAAGCTTTCATAATGAATGGATGCCTTTAAACAAGCACTCTGTGGCAAATTTTGGTTTATTTCTATATGATTACAGTTAATTACTATAATTTGAATGAATCAGAAGTATAAGTGTTAAATGGCTGGTGGACACACTGTACTTGTGTGGGCATTTAAAATGCTTAGACAAAAGTGTGATTTGGGTTTATTATTTTATTAAGCCAGTTCCCACACCGTCACATGGAACTCTAGAATGCAACAATTGGTCATCAACCAAGAGGAGTGAAATGACATACTCCACATATTTAACAGAGAAGAATTCTGAATAGCCTCTAACTTCCTACTTTTAAGTAGTGCCCTTTGCTCACGCTGTTAGAAAGAGAAGCAAACAGTCTCAGAGCCAGGGAGGCAAGATGCTCTTCCGAAATAGCTTTTTCCAAATTAGACAGAAATTGTAAAGGATCCTTCTAGAAAACTGAGAACAAGCCAGGGAATGGCAGTGGGAGAGAGGTGATCTAATGATACCCCAAACGGAAGAGACTCAGATAATGTTCTTCATGGTCACTACCTGCTGGTAGATATGTAGTGTTGCTACACAGAGATGGATACAGAGGAGAAACTGAAAAGTCAGAACATACTGAAAAGATAAAAATGTTATTTAGAAATGTTTGGGTGAGGGTGAATAGACTTGAGAGCAAATTGGATACACTGTATGCCTTCAAGAACTTTCCTAACAAAGTTCTAAGTTTGACATGAAGCAATTGTCATATCTTTTTTAAAAAAAAACTTGGTTGTATTGATTTGTTGAGACAAGGTCTTTTTTATTCTGCAGTATGGTCTAGTCTGATCTTCTGCTTCAGCCTTCCAGCTCCTGGGAATGCAGCTATGTGCCACCACATCCAACTTTCTAAGTTATTCATTCGCATGCTGATGGCAATGCTTCTCAAAGGATATTATTTTATGTTCCCATCCACTCTAGGCAACTCTTAGAGACTTCCATCTCCATTAGAATTCTCTACAGATTTTCAGAAAAAGACAATATTATTAATGGTTATCTCAAGCACTACACTCATAACGGCTGCAGAAAAAAGAGAGAAAAAGAAAAGAAAGAAAGAAAATGGAAAAAAAACCTACAGCACGGAGGCCAAAGCTACAAAGTCTTCTATAATAATGTAGCCAAAGATAGACTGGGAGACACTTTCTAACCCAAAGAAACCTAAGTATAGCTCCTTACAAGTAAATGAATCAATGCTTGTTATAGTCAGGACTTTTGCTAATCAGCATGGTGTGTTCCTAACTATACCCTGAATAAGTAAATGTGAAATAATGAAGGAACATAATCTTCCTGATGCTCCATGGTGAGAAAATGCCACCCTAGTGGCTTCTGCTGCTTCCTTCTCTGCTTTCAAGATGTGAAAACCCTGCTACCTATTCACCATCTAATGGTAGAATTAGAAACAGCTGAGAATGACTAATAATCTAGATAAGAAGGTTGACGTTTTTAGGTGCTGGCAAAGAGAAGCAGTGATATGGAAGCTATGTTACTGATAATCAAAGCCAGAAGATGAAAGCATGATAAGTAAAATGCATGTGAACCTGACTATGCATCACCCTGCAGACCTTTGAGGAATATAAACTTCAAGTAGACTTCTGGAATATTCTGCAAATATTTTCATGTGCTTAACAGAATATGATAATTTCATAGTGATATTTAACAGTAGAATGATTACAATTATGAAGCTACTGTTTAGTCAGCTTTCTGTTGCTATGACCAAACACTTGAGACAATCCATTTAAAAGGGAAAGATTCGTGTTGGCTCATACATTCAGATATTTCAGTCCAGTAACTGACCTCATCGCCCAGAGCCTGTAATGAGAAAGAACAAGTCTGCAAAAACATAAGAGAACAATCATTTCCTGGCGACAAGGAAAAAAAAAAAAAACAGGAGGGTCAGGGTCCCAATATCTCCTCAACAGTATACTTCCGACAACTTAATTTCCTCCTTCCTCCTTCTCATCTCTTAATAATTCCACAACCTCACAGAAGAACTCCATGCTTGTGACAATGCATTTAGTATATGGGCCTTTGGGAGACACATACCCATCCACAAAAGGCACAGAGAAGGAAAAGACAAGTTAGTGGAGAGGTCCTAGGCACAGAGCCCGGAGAAGTGATGCGGAGCAATAGGAAAATGAAGTTCATGGGTCTTATTATTTTAGGAAATGAGAAACTGAGAAGGCTTTAAATTAAGGATTTGAGTACTATAAAATAAAATAGGAAAGTCTCAAGAATATGTTTAAAAATCAAAGACCAAAGCAGAAGCTCAGCTACTCGAGGGAAGAAGATAAAGTCAGATCACAGAGGGCAACAACATTGACTACACCTCCAGCATTACATATATAAATCCACAAGCACAGAGTGGAGAATGAGCCCTTAGTCAATGGTGTAACAAAATATAAAAGGAGTAAAATAGGGTAACCACACTCAAAAGTGCCTGACTGTACCTTGGGGATTTTTATCTCTATTCCTTTGCATCTAGGATATCAACAATCTTTAAATCAACCTTAGTGATTACAGAGTATCACTGCTCAAATTCTCTACCAAATTGCTCTTTCCTAGGACATCATCTCTAAAGTGTTTCAATGAATTAACAGAAATGCCCAAGAAATACACATATGTGCCCCTTGCTGGAGGCATGAAACTTCAGTATTCCAATTCATATCATATTTACATTTGGATTTTTTGTTTGTTTTGCTGAAATATTCACCTCCAAACATTTTAGTAAGTAGCTCTGGTTGTTACTGAAGCCCTGCTATATGTCACCAAGGAAACAGCCTTGGTTGAAAACCCTTTTCAAGTAAAAGTAAATCATACTTTGTTTTCTAGAAGTATCAGTGTTATAAATAAATTTGGACAAATTCACTTCCCAGTGCCCCCTTCTTCCCTTCTCTCACTACACGCTATGACTACTTGGAATATTCTCTGGAAAACTACATAATATGTAGTTGTGGTGGACATTGATGTCCACTGGTTTAAGGCAACTCCTCAAGAATCTTTTGAATATACTGTGCCAATAAACAAACTATTAGAGACTTTTGACATTTCAACATAACTTTCTGTTTTAAAAGAAAACTCTCTCTTTGTCCTAGCTTACAAGTAGATCCACTGAGACAAGTGTTCAGAGAAAAAAAATAATAAATATGTGTTGGCCAATTGTGAAGTTAGAGAATTGTTTGCCAGACTGTGGGATAAGAGGAAACAACACCTGCCTTAAACCTCTAACATGCTTCAACATTTGTTCATAGTCAAGGTGTACTAAAGCCAGAAAATGAGAACTATTTTGACAAATGCTGGGCTTGTTGAATTAAATACTCAATAGAATGTTATGTAAAAGTGGTTTTAACTCTTTCAGAAGCATCTGCTCTTCACTTCCTTGACTTATTCAGGGTTGAAGGCCAATAGATAAAAAAATCACAACGAATTCTCTGCAATGAACATTTTGAGAAACTGTGAAAATGTGTTTGTAGTCATAGTGTTACTAACTGATTGATGCTACTCATGAAATTTGTTGCTGTGGAGCAAAGATTTCTGGAATTTGTGTGATGGATTCCTTTCATGATGCAGTCAATGAAACAGGAGGCCTGCTTGTGGGAGATACTAAGATGTGAGCTCCATGCAGTGGATAAATATCTGTGCATTCACAATATTTCCTTCCTATTTGCTTTACAAATGGAGACCAGCTCTCATGAGTCTCAAGAAGCAAAAATGAAAATTCTAATGTTCTTCAATGAATACTCAACTTTTAGGTAGAGAATTGTTCCAACTAAGATATTAAAAAATATAATGAACTTACTATTTGAAAATTCCATACAATGTAGTTTGATCATGTTCACAACTTTCCCCAACTCCTCCCTACCCACCCAATTTTATATTTTCTCTCTTTAGATGACAAAAACATCAAATTCATTTTGTGTTAGCCAGATACTATGGTCATGGGGCCTGCCCTGGAGTGCAGTTGATGTACCAGATATTACGCCATTGAAGAATACTGGATTTTCCTCTTCCAGTAGTAATCAAATAACAATAGCTCCCCAACTGGGGGTACCTGCCTTCCCTGCCAGATGCTGGGATTGTCTCTGTCTTGAGCTTGTGTTGGTCTTGTGCATGTTCTCATAATTTTGAGTTCATATATTTCTCCCTTGTACCTTCAAACACCATTTCCTTCAAGTCACATGTCACCTTTGCTCTTACACTCTTTCTGCTCCATATTTTACATATATCCCTGAGAAATTTGGAACACTTTTGCTTTGCAACTTTTCAGAAGTGTATCATCATCTCTGATAGTCCATTTGGCATTTTAAGGACAATACTGTCATCTTTCAAGTGTTGTTTTTTTTTGTTCATTTGCTTGCTTGTTAGTTTATATGGCACTAGTCTGTCATTCCACCTAGGATGATTCTTACTATCTTCCAGGGTAAGCTGTCATTTGTGATGGCTATTATTCCAAAGACAGAAGAATCCACAGAAGGGTTCAGTCATCTACTAAATCTATCTTTTTAAGCACCTGGGTATTAGATAGATATCCATAGGTTCACCTATGAATTCAGTGAACACACTCTTACCTAGGCTTGAGCCATTTCCCTCTGTATTGCAACTGACTTTAACATACCTTCACTCTAACAAGAGGGTTCTCACAGAATTGAAGTGTCTGAGACAAGGTCAATCACTTGTCTATTATAATAGCAACAAGCTATTCCCAAATATTAGCATTTTAAAACAACAAAGTTGTATTATATTACATAATTTCTAAGTGTCAAAAGTCCAGAAACAAAGTAGCTATGTGAATCTAGACTGGAACCTTCATGAGCTTGTAGTCAATATGTTTGTGGACTAGTCATCTAAGCATGCAATAAATGGCTATTGACATGAGATCCACATTCCTTGCCAAACATATATCCACAGAGTATGACAGCTAGCTTCCTCCAGGGCAGATGATTCAAGAGGAAGAAGTAACCCATGATATCTCTTACTTGTATACACAAACCACCATTTCTATGGTATCCTATTGTCTAGAATTAAGTCACAAAGTCTAGGTGTAATAAGGTAAGAAATTTCTGGACGTTGATGATTAACAGCTGGTCATGACTACAGATCTTCAGAATGAAATCCTAGTCCTGAACTGGAGAATCAATAATTGGTAAGATACTCACAGTACACGAGAGTCCACTGGAGTTAATCCTAAAAGAGAAAAGATACAAATGTAAGAACTTGTGGTTCATAGGACCTGACGGGAAGAAAATAAACCTGTTTTCCCTATACCTCTGTTCCTTTGACGATGAATCTTAGGTGGCCTTATCTAATACCAATAGATTATCATTATCCTATCATTGATTTTATTTTGTATTTCTCATATAATAACCACACACACACACACACACACACACACACACACACACACACACACACACACACACACACACTTTTTCTCTCCACCTGCACATGACCTTCAGGAGAAATAAGGCCTAGAATTCTTCTTAGCTGTCCATGAATATATCTATTTTCCTAAACAGAGGCACATCATTGATGTCTGCTGAGGCAAAGTTAACATGGAAAGTAAGAGTCTCAATTCACCGCACTTGAGAAAGGCTAGACAGTACTAAAAATCAAAACCAAACTCTGTCTCCTTATTTACTTTTCTATCAGCAGATGTACCTGTACAACATGGTCCTCTATTTTTTTCATCAAATTGCATGTGCAAAAAAATGTGTTGTTTCAGCTTCTAAAGATTCCATTCTTTCTCATCACTAATGATGGAAAAGATGTTTCCAATGAAACAGAAGGGAGAGTGTTTCCAAATTCTCTGTGATCATTATTGATTCCATTGCACATTTTATGAAATGGACGTGGTTAAAATTAGTGCCTTCTTTAATTAAAATGAGAGTAACTATATTCAGTCCCAATTCCCCTTTTAAAATTTGAAATATCAAAGAGAAAATTATCAATTTTCTGAAGCATTATTCTACAATTTTGTATGTTCTCAGAGAAATCCTGAATTTCCCAGTCACCAAATTTCAGAGAAGGCTTGACTTTTGATCAAGAAAACTAAATAGGAAGCATTATGTACAAGAAACCATAATTAGAAGTGGTGTCAAACCACACCAATGTATTATCATTGGGATGTTACATGTATAGGAAGATGTTATCATCATTTATATTCCCACAAAATTACTACCCAAATACAGAAAAATATAGCCAAGACCTGGAAGTTTAAGACCTATTTTTCTATAATAAAAACAGAAAAATTGAGGCCAGGAAAAAAATGGATCAGTTTTCAGTGACTATTTCATGACTTGCCTCAAAGTTTACAGAATTTTTCTAACCAATTCTCACTACTGAGAAAATCTTCCTCCCTCACACTGTCATTTCACCTGTCAATGTTATTAATCCCATTTATGAATAATATTCTATCCTAATAAGCTTCACAGGTCATAAACTTAGGTGCTGTTTACTGACAAGTCTGTCTTTTCTTTTTGTCTCCTATAAACCATCCTGAGAGTAGAATTGTAGCAATATAATTTGCTTTTTCTAAATTTCTAATTTGCATTGCTAAAGTTTATTCTGTAGCCCTCATGAAAAATTGTAATTAACCGTTTCATGGGTTGAGTTCTTTTCCAAATAGTTTGTAGTAAGAGTGAAAGCATGATACTAAAAATATAATAACACAGTGTGGGCTCCACCCTGTCACAATGGATACTGTGAATGAGAAAAATGATAGCCACAGATAATGTATCTGAATCTGTGCCTACTAAGGAACCATATACCTTGATATTGGGTATCACTAGAACTTGAGAATAATGAGGAAGTTATGGTACTTTACAATATCTTAGTCAGCTATGGTGATGCATGCACTTGTAATCCTAATACTCCAGAGGATAAGGCAGGATGCCAGTTTGAGGCCAGCCTAGGCTATATTGCAAGATCCTGTTTCAAAAAAGAAAACAAATATTTTATCAAAGCTAAAATAATGTGGGCTAATGTTAATGGAAGTCACCAACTTCCTTTTCTTCTCCTACCAAGAAAATGATTAAAAGAATATTGGGATACTGATACCTGGTACTGAGAACACAGGAAATGCTATATAATCACCATAGAAAAATAGAAATTTTTTTTCTTTTTCTTTTAAGTTTGCATTAAAAGATTTTATTTTGGAGGCAATGCATATATCAATGAATTCATGTCCCACATCAGTAATCACTCCTCTGTCAGATAGCAGGATTTACAGAGAGATGAGTTTCATATGAAAACTGATGCAGATTTACTACTTGAAACAGATAAGTTGGAGCCATATCTAACTGTGTAAAGGAGCCACCCTGATGGAGGGGCCCATTAATGTCCCCTCACACTGCATCGGGTGTTTAGTAATTCTGAAAATCTGTTCCTATTTTAAAATGGAAAAAGCGTGGTGACGACAGAGAAATGAGATGTATTTGGAAGTTCAGAAATGAAAACGCTCCAAGCTTTCCTTTATGTACCCACAATAAAAAATAAAGAATTCTATACATTTTTAAAGTATTTTTAAATTACATGACAAAAGCTGATATTCTTTCCTCTTCTCATTGAGTCATTTTTAACTTGATATGATTTTCATCTTAGTTTGAATTGCTTTTCTTTTAAGAAGCTGGTATCAGAACCCATCTGTAGGTTGTATTCTTCAATTTAGGAAACACTGTGAAATTAATTTCAAAATGTAGATACTAGATTTAAGTAAGAGCAAAAGCCAAGAAAGAGGACTCTTCTCCAAAGATACTACGTTCTTCAGAAAAAGGAAATGTTCTCTTTCTTCTAGGATAAAACTCACTAAGCCAGGGAAAACTGGAAGCTGTGTCAGACACAAGACATGTGCAACTACATGTTATTAAGCCATACCTAAAGGTTGATATCAGAAGACCAACATGTCACAATATTATGTGAGTCTTTGTTATGTATTTGGATTCCCCTTCACACTTCCTGAGGTGGAGTTATGAATTGAATGCAGAAGGACTGAAGGAGTAGTTATCTCTTTGCCTGGAATAAGGCCTTGAGGGACAACACAGGGACATCTTTAAAGTTGTAAGATGCCCATATGAACTTAACATTGTGGCAATATTACTCACCTGGTGATCAATATCGGTATCAGCTAGGATGGGTGTCTGTGTGGGTTGCTGAGAGTGAATAAAAGGTCCCATGAAGGATAAGCCAATCAGGACGCACTATCTTTACACTAAAATTATGTAGAATGCTTTCCTACTGACTAAATAGATTCACATTTATTTCATTTGAATTTGCAGTTTGTTTTGTGTGTGTTTTTCTATACCTATTTTGCTATCTTCTTTTGGCATCAACTCTCAAACAATTTTTCCTTGTTTTGTAATGATATACATATGTATATATTCTTTTAAATTACAAATTTAAATTGACTGGTCCCTGAAAACTAACAGAAGAAAAAAATACACAGCAGACAACATTATCCTTTTCTTACTAAAGAAAATGCAACAAAATACAATGAAGAGGAGATTTTTTTTCCTCACTTAAAACATTTTTTCTTGGAAAAACATTATGTGTAAGGTCAGTGCAAGGATTTATTGGCATACCTCAGTTGATGTGATCCATTACCTAGCATTATGCATTATCTGTCTCCATACTATATTCTAGTAAAAGGGGAAATAGAAGGATCACTTTTTAAGGCCACATTATCTTATTCAAGCTTTGGAAGTGTTCATGCATATTGAAGAGAGAATTTAGAATCCCTAAAGTTTTAATGCACCCACATTAAATAAAGAAGAATCTCTATTGTTTCTAGTGGATTTAAAGTGGGAAGAAGAAAGACAAAAATACAAAGAAAGAAAATTCAATAACACATGCCACACTGACCTTAATACAGAACATGTCTACTTATTCTTAAAAAGCACATTTTGATACACCCTGAAAAATTATATGCAACAAAACACATATACAAATACTAGGATCATCTCACTGCAGCCCTATTTTCTTTTTTGACATAAAAGGAAGATGTATAAAAAGGTGTATATATATATTTTATATATATATATATATATATACATGTAAATATACAAAAGGAATATGCCTTTATTACCAAGTAAAAGATAGTGACAGGTTATTTGCTGTTTTTGCCTTTGTACAGACTAAGATAGAAATATGACTTATTTTGGATTTAAACTTTTATATTTAATAAGACTAATTTGGTTAAATCTACTTACATTTTACCTACTTATTTGACAATTAACATTTACATCATTTCATGCCCCATTTGCATCATGCATTATAATGAAAGCTACTTTAAGCTATAATAATACTAGGTAGGTTTGTGTGTATAAGTAATCCGGGTAAGAAAAATAGTTTAACACAAACTGGGCTTTAAATGTCTATGCTGCTGGACTACAGGTGCAAAAGCTTGTGGTAGCACTGGTTTGTTTTTTATTTTGTTTTGTTTTTAGAATAAAATAAGCAAATTTAGTCAAAGATAGCATTAACAATTGTAATAGTGATGAAGTTAAATACTCTCAAAAGAAAACCTGGGAGTCTGAGAGTAAGCTGGAAGCTGAGAAAGCTTAATTATTTCAATCCCAAAAAAAGGGGGGAGTTGAATGGCATGGTGAGGGGCTGTATTTGGACTAATACCATTATGATATTCACTCTAAGCATGCATCAACTGTTGTGTGATAAATTTAGCAAGCAGCTACACACCTGGAAACAGATATTTAGAGAAAAGTTACCATATACACACAATCTGAGTAGGACGAACTTTTTGGTTTAAAACTTTAAAATTAAGTTCAGCTTTTGACACTGAAAAGATTGGACATCCAAGTAATTCTTGGAGTTGAAGTTTAGAAGACCACTTAAAATTTTGTCAAATAGGGGCTGGAGAGATGGTATGGAGGTTAGGAGTGTGTGCTGCTGCAGCAGATCTGAGTTCTGATCCCAGACCCCACACTGGGTGATTCACAACTACCAGCCTCAGGGGGATCTGATATGGTCTTTGGGCCTCTGTGACATCTGCATGGAGTGCATACCCATACACAAATTCACATAAGTAAAAATCAATCAATCTTTTAAAAGATTTGTTGAATGAATAAGCATTTCCTGTAGGCAAAGAAATCTAGCCATGTAAAACTGTGATGTGTTTGGAGAACTATATAGAACTTATTCGTGAGTCTTCACAAGTGGCCTGAATCCTGCAT